GAGTATCACAGCTGATTACCTAATTCCATTGGCTCTTGCTCTGCCTGTTCTAACGCAAAGAAAAACGTGCTTTCCTCAGCCACGCATTTGAGCTTTTGTCCAGTGAGCCGCAAATACTAGCAAAATAAAGTGATACAGGACATTTGTGTAAATCACATTTTCGAGGGATTCTGTCTTTTTTTTATGTTGACTATCAGCAGAAACCAGAGGTAATGGAAGTTCTACTTTAACATGCAGGCGCCATGGCATAGGGACGACAAACATGCAAAAACCTTCAGCCATATGTGGGAAACAGACTAAGCCTGCAGCTCAATGGACGCCATTAAAGCATCGTTCAATTTTATACGAAAACCTTCATCAAAGTTACATGACAAAGAGACAAGAGGTCTTAAGTGCCCACTTTCTTTTCTTGCGTGTTCAGCCACAGTTACTGTCACTTTGCTTCAAATAAGTCAACTCAAACTCAGTCTGGCATTCTGGGAACGCAGCATAGGAAATCTAAAGTACACACAGCAAGTGGTTAGAAAAGGATAAATGACATCTAACACACAAGACAATCGGAAATAACTATCTGACAGAGCTTTTTGTAGCTTTTGGGATATTTAAAAGTAGATTCAGATCAGAAATATCACTGGGTTGGTTTTCCTCACTACTATTCACCTTTAAACTGAGGCACTGTAAAGTTCTGAAGTTTAGTACCCCTTCTTTTAGTAGTGTAAAGAGCAACAATTCAAATAGTTGGTTATTTGAATGTTAGTGAAGTGTGTTTTACAACCATCCGTTAATTAAAAAGATTATATAACTGTTTCTGACAAAAGGCAGATGTTGGTGGGGGTTTTGTCTGTTGGGATTTTTTCTTGTCTAGTGCACACACAAATTGAAGTGTAAAAACAAACATTTGCTGTTTGGGGGGTCAGTTGTTATGCCAGAACATAAAAGAAAAAAAAAAACAGTCATTTGAAGTTCCCACACATTTCCTGGCAAATAAACCTGTACCTGTAGCAGATTTTGTTACCTTTATTCCAAGCCAGTTTAACTAGTTAGTACTGTTTTCAAGCTTTATGCTAAGCTATTCAACTGGCTGCTGGCTCCACCTACATTTCTAACGAAAAAACATCATAGCAAATACCAAAATACCCTACTATTGCTTTAATTGATTAAGTATTGCTTTGTCATTTTGTGAAGCTGACAATTGAGCGGCCCGACCAAGCAAGGAGGCAGAGGCAGAACGTCCAAAAATACAACCCGGTGTGGGCATTTATTAAAACATGAACACATTACACACAGCCTCAATCCTGCTGCTTCTGTTCACGTGAGCCCAGCCTGCAGCCACCAGGATCTCACTCACACTCCCTGCCCCTAACAGACAGGGAAACAGAGCCTAAATACCCACACACACTAATCAGCAACAAGACACAGGTGAGGGGGGAGGAGACAACACAGGGCACCAGGTGCACACAATCCAGCAACAGACATAACGGGAGGGGGAACACTTTTCAAACACAAACATATAACTGAACAGAAGTACACACATACAAACCCAACTAAACGCAGTCAGCACTTGTACAATTAATGCCACTTAACGCTATGATGTCTACACCCCCACATATTATTTACATTATTCTTAACCGCTGTCATTCTACACCAGCATAAGCACTTTCGGAGCTCTCGCTAACTCCCCTATCTTGTCAGGCGGAGCCGAGGACCCGACCAGCACCTGCCAGACGACATTTCAATTAATACAGTTTAATCCTTTCATAAATACTATCTCAATAATTAGTATAAATTATATAAAATGTGCAAATATGCCATGCCAAACGGTACTGTGCAATCACGCTAATAAAGTGCAAAACTGTTCACTAAAGTGCTGAGTTACCAGGCCCGAAGCCGTCAGTTCACAGTGACGAAGTTACCTTCGTCACACATTTACCCTGCCTATTAGTTGTTCACATCCAGCTACAACCATCAGAGCAGTGAGAAAGCTAATTCAGACTCTTCCTCAGTGACATTGTTTGTTGAGCGGGTTAGGGTTAGGTTAGGGTTAGGGTAAGGCGTGAGAAGGTAATGATGAAGTCGAGTCACTGCCAGTGACCATATTGTATTGACAGGCAGGAGACAGAAGTCAATCTTTTGCACAAAGCCTGTACGGCTGAGGTGTGACAATAGTGTGTTTCGTTGACATAAATACGCCTAGGGGTACATGTGTGTGTCCAGAAAAGAAATTCCCATTGTGCGTTATTTATGTTTGCAGAAATGGTGCATGTTAAAGTTTACAGAGTTAATGTCAGATGCAGGAGTGAAGATCTCAGCATACAGTTCTGAAGAAAAAAGGTAGAATAGATGGAAGTAATTGGCTTTAAAATCCACTTGACTCTACCTCCTCACGGCTAGTGTGTGCATCTGTATTCCTGTGTGTTAGCGTGTCATTAACAGGATTTATTACACCAGAAATAGCCTGGAATAGACAAAGGTAATTGGCTTTGCCTGTCAGGGAATCAGATTAAAGTCAGTCTAACATTTCAGATTTACGGTTAAGGCTTTTGACTGACGATCTTATCCGAAGAGACTTAGAGGGAAGAATAAGCAGCTTATTGTCAGTTAGACGCTGTATCCATAACTGATCATCGCCATTGGTTTTATCCAAGAAACTGAATTATTTAAGAGCGTTTAGCCACTTGGAACCACAATAAATTGGTTGTGTTTGATACCCAGTCGCACATCGTTGCGCTTGTTTCTTTCTCCTTTTGGAAGGAATATAGTAGAGGGGGGGGGTCCCTCAGACACTAAGAGCATGTGTTTTGTAAGCTCTGCATAAAGACCATGAAGTAAGTGTAGTGTAGTACATTTGGAAAATAAACTATAAACTGCTTCAACTCTTCCTGAAAAGTAATGTACAGATCTGTTGATATTCAGTGCCTCATGAGTCCAAAGGCTCAACGTGTACAAAAGTCTTCTATATTTAACTGGATTTATTTTTGTCCTAAAATGACAGATGAGGCTAATTTTAATATCAAAGGGCTAAAATTAAAATCTCTAAAATGTCAAAACGCATTCTTGCTGTGCAACCCAGACCTTAAGGAGAGTAAAATTGGCTTAAAATATAGTAGAGAAAAGTAAACAATATACAGAAGCGCTGCATTTATGTGTTAATGCTGCTTGAATAAGCACTGGTTTGGGAACATTGATATTAATCACACCTCCAGGATCTCGGATTCTAGGATTTGTGTGTGTGTGTGTGTGTGTGTGTTATTAAAGTAAAAAGTGCTTATTCCTGCTCTGTCTGCGTGTGTGTGTTAGGCACATGATGTTTGCATTTTGTCATCCGTTGTAGGCTATATATGCATACACGCGGGGACGAGGGCTCTGTGACTAAGAAGAGGCGAGCAAGGAACAGAGGACTGTGGAAAAATAAATAGAAACAGCGGAATGAAATGAAAACACTACAAACAAAGTGACGGGGGGAGAGCAATAAGTGGAACAGGAGACAGATAAGACAGTGGTTGTTTAAAGCAAACAGGGGCAAGAGAGAGTGACATATAAGAAGAGAAAAGGAAAAAGGGAGAATGAGCAGAGGAGAAAGCGAGTTCATGCTCCAGTGGAGGGGAAGTCATGCGAGCCGCGCTGCAGCTTTCTCTTCAGCCTCGATACAACGAACTGTAACTGCATCACCTGCCGCCACACACACACACACACACACACACACATACCATGTATACATCACTTCAGTGGACATTACATTGACTTACATGCATTTCCTGGAGACTTATCCTAACCGTAACCATAACCAACACATGCCTAACCCTAATCCTAACCCTAATCCTAACCAAGTCTTCACCCTAAAATTAATGATTCCCCTCATGGGGACCTCCAATTTGTCCCCATAAGGGAGAAGAGTCCCCACACGTGACTGTGTAAACAGATTTAGGTCCCCACAAGTATAGTAATGCTAGGCCACACACACACACACACACACACACACACACACACACACACACACACACACACACACACACACACACACACACACACACACACACACACACAGACTTTATATGCACTCACACTTCTGTATTCCCACATAAGCAATGTGAGTCAGAACACATGTAGAAACACACAACTATCTTTTTTGTTACTTGGATTGACCTTTCACATATTAACACACTATTAATAATTCTCCCCACTTTCCATAAATGGTGTACTCTTAACACAAGAATGTGCACCGCACATTGGAAGGCCAACTCAACTCACATACAAGTAAACATGCACATACATGCATGTGTTTTTGTGTTATGATGCACAATAAAGTTTTGGGATGGAATGTGAGATTGTACAAAGACATCTTAAATGTATTTGTGTGTTCTCTTAGCACACTTTCTGTAGAAGATTTAGAGCTATGTTCAGGTTAGGTTCAGTTTGAGGTTAAGCGTCACCGATACTTAGATCCGGGTTAGGTTCAGATTAGGAGAGACAGGTACAGTTTTAAAGAACTTTAAAGGATTTTGTTACTTAGTACCCATTTTTTTACTACCAATAAAAAGCCTAATAATAATGACTTATTTTATGTAGCAACACACCACAATCACAATGATTCTATGAATTTAGAGGGTTATCTTAATATCGTCATTTAGTGACGATGTGATAAGTGATAATGACCATGCAAGACGTTTTGAAGGGATGAATAATGACTGGTATTCCAGTAATAGTGAAATATCAGTAGCTTTTTGCATCAATCAAAAGATGTTCAGTTAGCTATCAGACACCTCCCAATATTCCCATCTGAGAAGCGAACACCAATACATGTCATTGCCCTGAAAGGAGTTATAGCTATATGTATAATTGCATTAAATATTTATTGAAATGCAAATTTAACTTTGGCTCTTCAGGCATGTGGCTAAAAAGTTATTGCACACAAGAATAAATCATCACAAAACATCACATGTCCAAGAAAGCAGTAGCAGTAAAAATGAAAGAATATACGGTTGATGGTTGAACAAACTAACCTGTGTAGTTTCTGGTGATGCTCTGAGTCTGCAGAGCTTCAGTGTGCGCTTCAGTCTGTGCTTCAGTCTGTGCTTCTGTCTGCGCTTCAGTCTGTGCTTCAGTCTGTGCTTCTGTCTGTGCTTCAGTCTGTGCTTCTGTCTGCGCTTCAGTCTGAGCTTCAGTGTGCGCTTCTGTCTGCGCTTCAGTCTGTGCTTCAGTCTGTGCTTCTGTCTGCGCTTCAGTCTGCGCTTCAGTCTGCGCTTCTGTCTGCGCTTCTGTCTGCGCTTCAGTGTGCGCTTCTGTCTGCGCTTCAGTCTGTGCTTCAGTCTGCGCTTCAGTCTGCGCTTCTGTCTGCGCTTCAGTCTGCGCTTCAGTCTGTGCTTCAGTCTGCGCTTCAGTCTGTGCTTCAGTCTGCGCTTCAGTCTGCGCTTCAGTCTGCGCTTCAGTCTGCGCTTCGTTGATCATCAGGTTCTCAGTCTGGAGGTCTGGCTGCAGCTGGATGGGGGTCCCGGTCCAGTCCTCCGGCAGCGTTGTGGTGCTCTGTAAGTCCTCTGGGCTCAGGGTGGAGCCCCCTGCCAGCACCACAGCACAGAGCAGCGTGCACAGCAGCATCCAGAGTGGGGTCCTCCGAGTGGGGTGTCCACATTTGGGAGACATGGGGTCAGCTAATGAGGAAGAAGAGCTCCGTAAGAGGGACGATTCACAGCCTCATGGTCTAGTCTCAGCGAGAAGATCCTTTAGAGGAAAGTTTCTCTCCTCTTCTCTTCTCTTATGTCTTTTCTTCTTCTCTCCTCACTCCCTCAGCGGAGAGAGGAAAACTCCCTCTGCGCTCCCCCTCATGATGTTGCCGCACTGTAAGAGATAGGACAGAGAAGCCAGTAAAGGAGAGTGTATGATAGTGTGTGTGTGTGTGTGTGTGTGTGTGTGTGTGTGTGTGTGTGTGTGTGTGTGTGTGTGTGTGTGTGTGTGTGTGTGTGTGTGTGTGTATGTGTGTGTGTGTGGATCCAGCTGTAATCTGCTCTCACATGCTGTTGTTTCCTCTCCGGCTCTCCTCTCTCTCCCTCACTGCTCTCTCTCTCTCTCCCTTACCACTCTCTCTCACTCTCTCTCTCTCTCCCCCCCTCTTAACTCCCGCTGGGCTGACTGAGCTCTTGCGTAACACTCACTCATTCGCTGAGCTGTGCTGAGCTGTAACTCATGCAGCCCTAAGTCCTTTCCCTCTCTGCCCCTTCACTCTGTACTTCCCCTGTAATGGTTGTATGCACAGTTGAATTAAACAATGTAGGCAATATTTGCTGATGGCTCACATCAATAGATCACAATGTACTTAGCAACTCAACTGGTTGGAAAACAGATTGAAAACTAAAGCTGAATGTATAGGTGTATACTGTGGAATGGTTGAACTAAGCCCAACTTCCCAATAGCTGCAAACCACTTAGGTGCATGTGTCCACACAAACCCCTAACCCCGCCACATTTCGGACCACACTGTGGCTAATTGTGGGTAGATATAACCCTAACCCTGTGAGTGACCTTTAAACTATGAATGAGTTTCTTATGTAGAAGGTATTTGCTGCCGGACTTCTGTTTACAGAAGTATAACCTGAACTGAAGAGGTCTGTGTGATTTGAATGTCGGAAACTTAGCAGCAGTTGCTAAAGTATGCTAGCCTTGAGGTTTGCAGCTCTGTAAGGCTCCATTTCATACTGATAACAAACAAACAAACCTCTGTGTTATTCAGGAGTCACTTTGACGATGTGATGCCGAGGTTTTGCAGGGCATATAATTTATTAGAGCAAAACAAATGTGTTATTGCTGTGGTGTAATGTAACATCCCACAGACCAATGTTAGTAGACAAATAATCACATTGTCCTTGTGTGTACTATACTCACAGTAAATGAACAAAATGCAATTATGAAACCCGAAAACGATCATAATAGGGCCCCTTTAATCTCAGAGAATCTTTACCACACTAAAGCCCAAGCTAAACTCAAAAGATTGACATTCTGTGTGTGTGTGTGTGTGTGTGTGTGTGTGTGTGTGTGTGTGTGTGTGTGTGTGTGTGTGTGTGTGTGTGTGTGTGTGTGTGTGTGTGTGTGTGTGTGTGTGTGTGTGTGTGTGTGTGTGTGTGTCACAGGCTATGGTCACAGGTGGACACTGGCTCAGGTGTAATGTGATGACCCTGATGGCTCTTGTTGATAGCTCTCTAGTCAGAAAGTCCATGCAAAGCTATGAATAAATGATGCCTCTGGGACCAAAAATAGGAGATAGAGATGGAGAATGCGAAGAAAATAAATGGAGGTGGAGAGGAGCAGGCGGGGTGAAATTACATTAAAGCGGGAGAAAAACATTCAGAAAAAGAGAAGCAAGACATTTGCCAACAAATACAGATGAAGTGAGATCCTGAGAAAACGGACTTTTATCAAATGTTGGGCCAGTAAATGGGGACGTGATGAGCTCTGCTAACACAACATACATTATTTACAACCAAAGCTTTGCCAAAGTGGACACAGGAAAAGCTTCAAAGTAAAAGATTTGATTTCAAGCTATCAAATGAAAGCTGCTATAGGCATGGTTGTACGGTATAAATACACCATCCTATTGGTATAGACAAAAGTGGTAAAGGGGGTTTTAGGAGTTAAATTGATGCTAGGAATCTTTGCCGAAAAAGTATTCTTTTATACCAAATCCACTATAAAGAAGATGTTAAGTGATTTCTGGTTACAAATATTTGAGAACGAGTGTACGATGATATTTCAATGTAAATGAAATGGCATCAATTACTGTACACTATAATGAAATAAAAAGACTTTTTTAATAAAAAATAAATATTTGAAAACATGCCAACTCTGCAGTTTAATCTCATTTGTAATCGTAGCAGCAGGCAGATGTTTTTCTGAAAAAGCTCAAAACATTCGCTGTTGCTCGCCAACTAAACATTAGACACGTATAGACTAAAGTCCAGCAGGTAAAGAGCTTTGGTTATGATAAGGTTTTTATGTCAAATATAACCTGATACTGGTATTCCTATCATTTTGCAGACCACACTTACAGTTTAATCAAAGAGCGATTACCAGTATTTACTATGAAGCCTGCATTAACATTAAAAAAGCATAATGTATAATGTCCTTAATATGCTACATGCGGCATTTTGGACATGAATTAATCATAACCACATTACTTCTGAAACATACTATATGTATAACTAGTGGTTACTGAGCACACTATCAGCCTCTGCTCCCACTTTGTGTTGGATCATAAGTCTGCTGTTCTTTATGGAGCTGAAAGTCAAACGGTTGAAAGATTAAAAGTGAAAGTGAAAGAGTGACAGATGTTCACACTTTACTGGTAGGACTGTGTGGTTAATGTGTACACATTGAGATTATGAGGATTAAAGAAGCAGACATACGGTTGAGACGGGTTACTGTTTTTCTAACAAAAGATCTGCAAGATAACATTATGTGATGACAAAGTGGAAGATGTTGAGTCTGATAAAAACAGGACACAAAACTAACAGTGCATCAGAGGACCCTAACCCTAAAGTACGCATTTTGAAGCACTATGAAATATTTGGCCACTTGGTGTCAGTTAAATAAGCAAACACATTGACACGTTAAAGTTTTAAAGATGACCCATTTGAAATGTTATTGGTTCAAATTAAGATGAAAACCCTATGCGGATAAAGGTGTTTCCAACTCCTATATTTTATTATACGATATACTTTATTGTCCCGTAAGGACATTTGTTCGGGACTCCGTCCTGCAGTTCCGCATACATGTACATATACAAACATAGTGGATGCATATCACATGGCTAAATCTCAGAACCTTGTTTGTCTGTGTTGACACACGTTCTCTTAGAACATCAGTATATTTGACTATATTTAAATGTAAATTACATTTTAAAGGGTAGATTTTAATTTAAAAAAATTGTTTTAGTGCAGCAGCTCATAAATAATGTGTGATGACATCAAAAATAAATCATACGTGTTTTCACTTTTTCACATAGAATAAAGCTCGATGTACTGAGTATTAAACACACACTCACAAATTGTAGCTCTGACACTATCAACCTAATCCCTAATGCCACATCTTAGAGCACAATAAATACTGTTATATAAAACAAACACACATTGACTTTAACACAGTGTTCACTTACTCCACTCTGTCCCGCATACGGTAATAACCGTGCATTTTGAAGCCATGCATTTGTTTGTGTTGATTACCGTGTGTGTCTTTACAGTGTGTGTGTGTGTGTGTGTGTGTGTGTGTGTGTGTGTGTGTGTGTGTGTGTGTGTGTGTGTGTGTGTGTGTGTGTGTGTGTGTGTGTGTGTGTGTGTGTGTGTGTGTGTGTGTGTGTGTGTGTGTGTGTGTGTGTGTGTGTGTGTGTGTACAGCAGTATACATCCAATAATCAGTGCTAAGTGCAGGTCACTCTCAGGGCAGAGAGGCTTTGTTTGGTGGCAGTGTTTATTCCCTGACACTTTCAATGTATTTCTCGTAAGGACTTCAGCATTTAGAAATACAACCTACTTCAATTTCATTTGTCCACATTGTTACTTAGCTCATTTCAATTTGACAGAGCTGGAGATTTGAGAATGTGCTATATCAAGTCTGTGCAGCCCTAAACTTTAATTGTATTTATGAATATTGGACTCATATTATTTGACTCCATGTCCATTCAATGTGCTGCTGATAGAGAATAGTCTGCTGACAAGTTTGCATATGAATTAAAGGGGAATTGTCACATTGTTGTGTCCCCGATAATCATCTCCTGACAGGTTTTAGTGTTGCGGATATTGATCTGTGTATTTCATGTTTCTTACGAGATGGTTTTTACAGCGATTATTAGTGTCGGTAAAAAAACATTGAACATCTACAGTTACAGTGAAATCATCAGTTAGCTGATCCTGGGCAGATGTTTCCCAGTGAAACTCATCTTCAATTAGCCATATAGTCCTTTCAACATGATTTGTGTTATCTTTAGCTCTCAAAGTAATGTACAAACAAGGTTACAAACTTCGCTTTTAAGGTTCTCACTGACGAAGCATTTTGATTGGATTTATCTTCCTCATTCTTTACTGAACGAAATACATTTGCTAAAGTGTTTTTTGCAAGTACCACTGGAGTGTTTGGTTTTCTGTTCCTGTTGTGACAAGAAGAGGCAAGGGGTCAAACATGAAGGTGGAAGGGGAATAATCCCAAGAGAAACATATAAGAATGTGTTTATTTGTAACGAAGCAATTTCCCCCACAGTAGCTGGTTGTGTATTTTTATTTATCCTTTATTTATCCAGGAATGTCCCATTGAGATACAAGATCTCTTCTTCCAGGGAGTCCTGACCAACACGGCACACAACAAGTTTCAACATAAAACAAGGGCATTAAACAAAAAACATACAATTCAAATATAAATACAGAAGGCCATTTGTGCAGTGGCAAGAAGCATAATCACATCAGCAATAGCATCAGGTAAAACAGTTACATGTTTCATGAAGGGCTAATCGTAGCATACCTTTAAAAGCATTTACATTAGTATTGCACTGAGGCAAGTGTGAAAGACAAGTTAACTTGAAGTTATTCATCTTGCCTATCAGAGATGAGGAGAGGAGTGCAAGACGGTGAAGAAAACACTGACAGAAGTGACGAATAGAAAATATAACACGTGCAGATTGTTAAAACAATGATGTTCTTGTAAAGCTGTCGTCTGGGGATCTAAGTGTAGATCGGAGCTTCAGGTGACTCCCTGCAGCTTCGGGGGGGGGGGGGATGAGAGGCTGGGAGACTCTGGGACCCCTGGAGCTCGTCTGATCTTATAATTGATTGATGCTGCGGGACGTGGCTGCAGTGAGAGT